TGTCCGCAGAGTACCTTGTGTTCCCAGGGTTTTCTGGAGAGAGAGAGTGCTGAGTGGGAAGGGGCACTGAAGTGGTCACGCTGGCACTGAAGACTCTATCTGAGCTCAGTCCCTACTAGAATGGGGTGGGGAAGCCAGTAGCAGCCAACCAGCTTCAAGGTACTTCTGAATATGCAGATGGAGAAGGGTCAGATTCAGTAATAGGGATCAGGGCACCTTCCATTCTGCTGCTGGGATGCTCAGATACACAGACCACTCAACAAGCTCAGAGGGTCTGTAAATGGCAACACTGCTCACCACGCAGGGCTGTGTGTACTGATAGAATAATTTTGCGTATAACCTTCTGGGTTCTATCTTGTTGCACATCAGGAGAGAAGTTTTTGGGGGGAGGAATAATTTTCATATTCCATGTCAAATTAGCCAAATCAGTTCCAAATCCTCTTGACTGAGCAACTCTCAATCATTTGAACACTATATGTGGCGCTACAACTGGCAAGTATCCTCCACCCCCGACTTTTCAGCCTTGGGCTTCAGATACTCCTAAATCCATTGATGGGCATCCTATGTGCAGGCCCAAGCCCAGAAGCTTGGGGTTTGGAGGCCACAGAGTCCCACTTGTCCTTAACCAAATACCACAGAAGCAAGCTAGAGAGGAGTCCCCCATTTCCATAAAGTAGGTGTGCAGCCAAGATCCTCCCATTGGAAGCTGGCCAGCAGGCATCTATTTACAAGACTCTTGTAGGGCATCCTGTCCACAGTGCATTGAACAGGCATGCACCCTCCATTACACAATGCCATTTAAATCCATGTTGGTTTGGGTAACTGACCAGTGCAGTGACTACACTTGATCTTAGCCCACAAGAGGCTGAGAAGCAATCAGGAGAGAGATGCGTTGGCTGGTATGTGTTAGGGGTGGTGAGGATTGGAACAGCAGGACGTAAGGCAGAACTGACTTGTAGGAGACTGTGAAGCTGGGCAGGGGAAGTGAGTTAATGCCAAATGGTAAAGGACCGCAGCTACTGTAAAGCAGGGCCCAGTAGCACTTTGTTCTATTCAGGGAGAACCACAGCCATAATATTGTGGAACAGACAGAGACATCTCAAGGACTTGGAATCTGAACCTAGTCTGGAAATGTACTGTCCCACCATCCATGATGGATCCACTAGTTCTAGAAGCAAGTAGGGCCTCTTTGCAGCTAGTAAAAATGGTGCTGGAAGGGGAGGCTGAAGGATACAGACATTTTAGACAGCCCCAAAGCAGTAGTTTTCAAACAGAGGGGCTCAGTTTAATAAAAGTCACAATTTTGTTTGAGCCCCCCTCCACCCCAACCCAGACAAAAACAGACATGCAAAATATGCTTTCATAAACTTAACAAACACAACTTAACTTACTTAATTAAATTACCTACACCTGTAGGTTTCTAGTTCACAGATTGAAATTGATATTCACAGATATTATACTTGACTTTAGCCGTTTCAGCTTCTGCCTTCCGTTTCGTAACAGTATCTTTTGGCAATAAGTACCGATCCAGTTTCACCTCAATAGTATGAAAATATCGAACTCACCAGCAGAATAAGTTGCACTGCAAAATGCTTGTTGTGATTTTTTTGTCTTGTAAGAGTAGATATGATAGGTGTACTAAACTGGAAGGTGGGAAATGTTGTTGCTATGGAAATGATCACTGGTTTAATTAAATGCATTGTAACACCTGTGAAATCAGTTGCAAAAAGTTCACTCATACTATTTCAGTGTGTGATGTTGTCAAATATAATATTAATAATGATGATAATAATTTTTAAAAGTAAAATATGCCTTGCACATGGTGCCCCCCATATTCCTTTGCGCCCCCCCTCCCCGCCCCCGGACAGCATGCCCCCCAGTTTGAAAACCGCCGCCTTAAGGAACACAGCATAGGTTACCAGTGGTTTCTAATATGTTGATGATGAAGGTTTCTTTTCTTCACTGCAGCTAGATCTTTGAGGTGTATGTGCAGTATTGCTATCTCTCATGATTTTTGCCAGTGTTCTTAAAGTATATGCTTTGGGAATGTGAAGAACTTAGCTTTCTTTTATATATAAAAGCTCTTTCTTTAATATATGTGTGTGTACACACACACACACACACACACACACACACTATATAAAAGAAGGAGCTAAGTTTTTCACATTCCCATAGCACAGACTTTAAGAATGACAAAAATCATGAGAGGTGGCAACACTGTATGACACACCTAGAAAAGGAACATCATCTAAATAATAATACTTAGTATTGTATGTTTTCAGATGTAAACTCTAGCCATTAGAGTTTACAATTATTTTGGGCAATTATTTTGGGCGGAGGGACACTTACTGAGTTTTGGCAAGCCATCGAGGGCCGCATGACAGGCAGCCAGGGGCAGATAAATATTAATTTTCTAAATTTTTTAGGGGCCCTGTGGGCTGGATAGAACGACCTGGCAGGCCGTATCTGGCCCGCGGGCCACATTTTGCCCACCCCTGCATTAGAGCCAGCTGTTCAGCATAGCTGATAGGTAAGTGTCCTCCCCTCAGCACTAGACAAGTCCCTAATATATAAACTGTGAGAAATAATCTGCCTGACCAGAGGAACAGACTCCGAAGAGTAACCCAAGTCTCTCACACATCTCATTCAAAAAAGCCTGTTGGATTTGTTACCTGCTACCTGCTGGACAGTTTGAACAAGGAGCCAGACAAAATACAATGGCTCATGCAGTTTTATTTGAGCTCAACTGAATTAAATCTCTCAATAAAACTCTTATCTCATTCATTTGTATCCAGGTACTTTACAATTGCTATGATATGCATTCTTCCTACTAGGCAGCAGTCTTGGATTCAAGGCAGCTGGTTTCTATTTGTCGTGCTCAAGGAGAGCAGCATACTAGAGATGCACTGCTCCAAAAGCTGTATCAGCTCCATTTGTTTTTATTCCTTTTTAGTTCTTTTTTACACACCAAACAAGTTTCAAAGGTTCCACCTCCTCCTTTTGCTTTCTTCTCCCTTTCCTGTACTCCTTCCTCGAGGAAATTCTTTACAAAACGACATTAAGTTAGTAGTGCCATTACACCATTGAACACTTAAAAAAAGTAGGAAATGCTCAAGATAACGCAGCACCCAGTCCTAACTCTTGTTCCCTTCTGCAGATGCCTAATTCTAATACAGCCCTTTATGATGCGAACAGAGGCTCTGTCTCAACTCATGCAACTTCATGTACACTAAAAGCAACAGGGCATCTCACAGCGTAGCCTGCACAGGAGCACAGCACTCAGCCAGAGCCATGGTCAGGTGAGAGAATCCCACCCTTCCCTCTGCATAAAGGCGGGAGCTTGCTGCACATTTCTTTTCCCTCTGTAGCTGTGTGGAGGGCCTGCCCTGTGACCTGGTGGCATCCCGGTGTCCGTCACAGCCACGCTGGAACTCCAGCTTCATGGCGGGAACATCGCTGGGGTGAGCTAGCCCTAGGGCGATGTTGGCAGGTGGGAGCCAAGCGCGTTGCTAGCTCCCTGGAGGCAGCCTGCTGGGGGAACCCAGGCACTAGTGCTCTAGGGAGGGGCATGGGACCCCCAGTCTCTGGCTACAGCCCCAGATCTGGGAGTCAGGACTCAGGGGCCTCCTGTCCACTGGGAAGACAGGGCACAGCCTGGCTAGGGAGTGCAGCCTCCTGCCTTGTGCTGCCAGATCTCCACATCACCTCTGCTGGTGTCTGCACTGCCACCACTGCTGCCAAGCCCATCCCTGCTCACCCTGGGCTCCCCAGCTCCCGTGGGCGGCATCAAGCTGCTCAAGTCAGGTGCCCATGGGCTAATTCACAACCTTGCCCCTGCCCGGCATGGCTGGAGATTGCCTGGGGCAGGGACCTGCAGCCAGTACTAAAACGCCTGGCGGGGGAGAGGGAGTGCAAGCCAGATAACATCAAGGCCCCCCTGTCCTGCTCAGAGTGGTCCAGTCCTCGGCAGGCCCACCGGGGCTCGCAGCCGCCTCTTAAGGTGGTTGAGTCCTCTTTCTCCCCCTCCCGGTGGTTCTGTCCAGTCAGGACGTTTCGGTTTCTCACCGTCCCCCATGTTTGGTACGACCCTCGCGGCTCCCCCTGCGCTGAAGGGTGCTTGGTTCGGTCCGCTCCGTTTCCGGCCTGTCCGGGGCCTGTTTCCGGTGTCCGACCTCACGCCGCCGCCGCCGTGATGTTGCCGCTGTTGTCCCGGTCCCGCTGTCTGAGCCGGGCGCTCAATGCCCTGCGGCAGGTACGGGCGGGACGAGGCAGGGGCGGGGCGAGCCAAGCCAAGCCACGCCACGCCACGGCACGGCATAGTCCTGTCAAGGGCACTGGGGCGGGGGCGGTGCCGCCACCAGAGACCCCCGGGTGGGCGGGAGGAACACGGCGCCCCGCCCCACCCCGCAAGGGCTCCTGCCGCCCTGGCACGTGGCGCTTCCCCGCAGCGGGAGACAGGAGGGCCGGGACTGGGCCTGAGGACGGGAGGGGCCGCCCGGGCGGCCGGGGCCGGGTCGGGGTCCTGGGGCCTGGTCGCGGCCTCGCCGCACCTGTGTTGGTAGCCGGCAGCGGGTCGGGTTGTCCGCCGGGTCCGTGTTCAGCACAACGCGGCTGCGCTGGGCACTGGCGCGACACGAGCAGCCGCAGCGCGCGCTCGGGCGTTGGACCGGCCTCGGCTTTTGCGGCCTGGCCCGGCACCGGGTTGGAAGAACAGGCGGGAGCTAGAAGGGGCCGGAGGCAGCGGAGCCGGACGGGCAGGGGAAGCTCCTGCTGCACCTCCGCCCAGAAAAAAGTTGTGCCTAAAGTTTTCCCTGCCTGGAGTGGTGCAAAGGCTAGTTCTCGTTGTACTGGACTCACTCCCTGCTGCACTGCCCGCTGCGCTGTCAGCTGCTGGAGCAGCAGCATCCTGTTTCTCAAGCTTTTTAGAGCTAGTTGATCTTGACCTGTCAATTACTTGGTGCCCACAGCTTGGCAAAAGGGCTGTTTTACTGTCTGCTCATCTCCCAACATTTTTTTTCCAATTCAAAACGAGCTAGTCCTTGAATTGACTTTGCTTGGGAATGAAAGCATTCTCTGCACCTGCAGAAGCAGCTCTTGCTGTCAAACAGGTTTATTTAACAGACTCCACCTCCACCTGCTTCAGCAGTGATTTCCACCCAGTCCTTGGTTTCTTGGTGCAACTTCAGTAGTCACCATGTGCTATTCAGATGTTTTAAGCAACTTAAATTATTTTAATAGATAAACATAAGTGTAGGCCTTAATATGTGGGTGGTCACAACTTGCAAAATTAATTTCAAATAGGCTTATATTTTAAAAATATTAAAATCAAAGAGTTTCTTAAGTATCTTTTTATTGGTATGCACCCTTCAGAGTGGTGGGTAGGACCCCAGGTAGAGAAGTGAAAACCAGAATAACAAGCATAAAGTATTTTTACTGTACATAAAATGAGACTGTAAGTCAGTTGATTACATGCAGGGAGATGCATTGGGCTAGGAAGATAATTTTGGTTGTGATGTTGAATATAACAGAATGGGAAGAGACAGGCAGGTAGGGAGTTCAAGGAGAGGTGGTCACAAATAGGGTGACCATGATAATTTTATGGACAGGGTAAGGAAGTCTGGGATAGGGGGTGAGTGGCAGGGGGGGGGCCCCCTGGGGGGGGGGGGGGGGGGGGGGGCCCCCCCCCCCCCCCCACTCTAGCCTCAAGGCTCCCAGGAGCAGGGCTGGGCAGGACGGTGTGGAAGCCCACCTTTGGCCTTTATCCCCTTCTTGCAGAGGCTGGACCCAGCTGGGGGCACCCCCTGGGCTCCATAAGCCCATGCTGCGCAGCTGCAAAATGCCTCCCAGGAGGCTGGGGCTGCAATTCCAGGACAGAGCCCAGAGCCATCCCCCCGCCCCCCAAACATGGGTCCCCAGCACCCGGGAGGGCAGAGGGACCCCTCAGAAGCCCCCGCTTTCACCTGGAAGGCTGCTCCCTAGTCCTGAATCCATTGAACTGCAAGCCATGAGTCATTTGCCAAGTAGAGTCAGTCAGAAGCTGGGCACATGTGGGTGGGTTCACACCAGTCTGGGAGTTTTGCTTCAGTTTTCTCTAGAGAGCCCAGCCAGTGAGCTGCTCCCTAGTCTGAACTCTGCTGGGCTGTGAGCAGAGTCTTTTGCTCAATCAATAATCAATCAGGAGCTGGGCACATGCAAGCAGGTTCCTGCCAATCTAGGACTTTCACTTCAATTTTCTCCAACCCAGGACAACCTATGAAATCTGGGACTGTCCCAGCCAATCCAGGATGTATGGTAACCCTAGTCATAGAGGTCTAGACAAGAGAATTGGAACATGGATGATGAGTTTTGAGAGTGGGGAAGAAGTATGATAAGTGAGGATATTTTTGGAGGTGGTTGAGAAAGAAATACCAGAATGTGAAAACAGGTCAAGCATGTGAACTTCAGAGTTGTAGCTTTGGGC